TTAATGATAAGAACCAACAGAAAGGCTAACTGATGAACACTGCGTAACCAATGGTAACAAGCTCGATGTTAGTGCTTTAATATTGCAATAAATGACCAGATATGTTGTAGATATTTCCGATACGAGATTGTTCAATGTTATAACAGTGAAACAAAATACCTTTTTCCATGATTTCTGCCTTTCGAATGTCACGGCCGAAAGGAAAGCTCTTTGAGCTTCCATGTTCGTTGAAATAACTGTCATAATAAATAACTCTCTTCACTCAGACGTATGTTTCGCAGATAATTGGCTGCTTCAGATAACAGCTCATTAAGGCAGCTATTCGTTATATCTTCGTTGGCACAAACACACATTTAACGCCATTAAAATTTAAATATGCGACAGTGGATCCTAACGAAGCTGGTAAACAGATTATGGAGAATATTTCGTTCGTCGAATCTTGAAAAAACCGGCTTCGTGTTTAATTTCCGCGTACTAAGCAGCTGATTCCACATAGGGAATGTTTTATTTATTAAGAATCAGTATGCAACTTAATTTGCATATGGGGAACATACGAAATGTTTTGCATTTCTGAAATCTAATTCATAAGGCGGATCCACGTATTCCCGAAGGGTCTTTCGCGAGGAAAAGATCTTCATCAGACAAACTTAAAATATTCAAACCACATTTTTATATTATCGTTAACTATAAACAAATTTTTTTGTTGAAATCCACTTTGGAGTTTTCACCTAGTCGCTTTTAACGTTAGTTATCTAAGCATCCATTTTTCTGGTGTTACTGTGCATGTGGTATTTTTCGCCTGCATGGCTTTTCGGCCTGGAGCACTCAGGTTTAACAGTGAAGAATATTTTAGATCAGCGAGGTCGATCAGATACAAGTTTATTGGCGGAAAACTTATTGAATGTATTCGGATAGAGGCAGAATGAGCGGTAAAGAAAAGGATTTAATAATACCATCACTGAAAATGGTTTTTAATATATTTTATTTCCCATTTATTATAGAAGTTGGTTAGACATGGAATTGAATAATTCTTGCCTAGGAGCTGGCCAACTAAAGTGCTTTCTCGGCACAATATGTTGTAAATAATAATCAGTTCTATACTAAGAATTGTTGCTCTCTGAGACGATGGTATTATTTTACAAGAGACTCTGATAAGTAATCAAGCAAAATACTTCACGAAATTGTTTTTTTTTAAAACCATCCTTTGTAAGTTACATTGATGCAGGCTAATTGATATCTCTACTCTTGTTGAAATACTACTGAAAGAGGTTTCATTTGTCATATTTAATTAACAATTGGTTGTTTAAGTTGGTTAGACTACAATGAAATGCTTATTGCCGAGTTACGGGCAAAATAGGTGCATTCCTGACACCATATTGCACATATTAAGTTGCAATGATATCTTTGGGCACAAATGTCTACAAAAAATAATAAACATCGAAAGAAAAGACTATTTAGTTCGATACTAAGATTTGTTTCTCTCTGAGATGATGGTATATCTGCAAAGAGACTGATAAGTAATCGGCATCAAGCAAATACCTAACGAAATTTAATTTTGGAGACCATCCTTTGTAAGCAACATTGTTGCAAGTTATTGATCTCTACTCCTGTTGAAATATTTTATCATGCCTTGTATTTTTATGTATATATTTCTAGGTTACTTCTCAATTGTAAAATCAGTTCCTAAGTATAGTACAGGAATAGTGTTTCACAAAGTCTATAAAAATACAGTGACATTAATGCATAAGTTCTCCGTTTTAGCACAGCAGCATATATAAGAAGCTAAATTACATTTGATTGGTTCTTACACGTGATCTTTTGAAGAACAGACGAATCGATGACGTCACGACTAACAACACTTTGCTTTGTTATCAGATAAAAAAAAAAAGTTTCCAAGTTGCCGGAATGTGCATGTACAGTAATAGATGACAGAAGACGTCAAAGTGTGGTAAGAACATCAGGACACACCCGGCAGTGCCTCGTGTGCCACCATTTTTGTTCTTCAGTACCACATTTTGACGGCATCTCTTATCTGTCACTGAAAAGAAGTACTGCAACGTGGTTGCTCTGCACTCCATTATTACAGGGAAAGATAAAATATAGCAATCAGAGTAACGGTGCGTAAAATCCACTCTGACCAGTTGTAAGTCAGCCTCGACCAGGCATACCCTCCACGGTCAAAGAGATGGATGGAATTATAGAAAGTTTAGAAAAAAAAGAACAATAATGATGTAGATTTGTTAAGACACTGACTATTTACCAGCCATATGTGCTCATAATTGGGCAGGTACAATGACTCTCTCGTGTCTAGAAGCTCAAAGATGAACTACGTGACTACATTTCTTTTGATAAAACATGCTCACTTGAATGAAATTTTATAGGCATATTGTTCTGTAAGCGTCTAAAAAGAATTTCTATAATATATATAAATTCACTCTGGGACGCTGGGCCGGCGAATCGAAAAGTTACTTTCTCAGAAACCAGCTCCCTCTTATCCTGAAACTCACAATCTAGTCGTTGTCCTTTTATTGAAGCTTCAAGGATGCAGAGTACATCGGGATTCAGCAAGTGGTATTGCTCAAAAATAATGTAAAATCCGGGATGGTTCCCACTCACCCCTCTTTCTTCGCTTTGGAAACAACCCTCCGCGACAACTTTACCGTTGAGTTTAAGTTCTACTGTATATTTCTTTCCTGGACTCCCAGTGATAGCAACTCCTCCTAGTAAAATTGGAAAATTGACAGAAAAAGAGATCGACTCAGTAAACTCTTTAGAGGCAAGAGGCAAACTAGGTGGCCTACCTATATCCGAAGTTCTATTGCAACACTGAAGATTTCTACTGTTTAAACACCTTGGGATGCAAGAGAACTTCCCAGGATTCCGATTTAAGCTGAAGTACAGGAAGATTTCAATAACCTCGTTTTTTTTTAGTATTTTGGTTTCAGCGACATGTTCAGCAAATTCGCTCTGAGACATTAGCGGGAAACGTATCAGTTTCACAAGTTCTTCTCCGATAATTGTCCTTTTTTCCTTTCCAGTGGGTGTTTTTCCTCGTTTTTCGCAGATAGCCTCTGCCCAGCGATTTACAGCTTGAAAAACTTTCACCTCCTTGATATCAAGAGTATCTCTTTTTAATATGGAAACCAGAAGACTGTTGTCGTCTTGGATTGCATCTGAGGCAGACTCTAGGACCTTCGCCGTAAGTGTATCAATAACTTTCCAGCAAACACTTTTCAAATGGACCTCCTCCATTTTTTCTATAAACGGCAATACATCCAAGACATTTTCAGCGTTGATGTTTTTCTCTAAGAAACTTCTACACCGGTCTGCTAGCGACGGAATCATGTACTTTTTGGCCAAATAGAGCACTTGGATAACACAATCTCCTGTCAATTTGACCTCATCGTAATAGATGAAACGTAAGAACTCATGAAATCCCTCTAGATCACAGTCTGGGAGATCGATATATTCAGAAGGTTCTTTAAGGTCACCGTAGAACATCTTATAGAAAACAGGGCTACTGACAGCCAGGATAAATTTGTGACAAGGGATATTAACTTTACGAGAAGAACTTCCTTGCCCATCTGCGACAGTGAAGTATACATCGGCCATGAGCGGGTTTCCGTACATGTGCTTGATTCGCTCGCTGACTGTGTTCTTAGTGAGCTGCCATTC